CGCCCCCCCCCCCCCCCCCCCCCCCCCCAAGAAAACTTTGCAGTGGAACGCTGGAATTTTGGCTGGCGTGCATGGACGTGATGTGGAAAGTTTCTTGGCGGATGGGAGAACAAAGCGAGTACCTTGAGTTGAGGCAACTGGTCTTCAGCTAGGGAATAGTCAAGCGCATACGACCCACTATTAGCCTACCTTGTAAGAATATTAGTGTTCAAGCTGTACGTGGTTAATGAAATTACAGCACTGGCATAGTTGTGTCATGTCATCAGTTAGGCCCAGTTCCTGGGTGAAGCCTCTTCTCTGAAAATAAAGGGAGGTGTCATAGGAGATTGTATAACCACATTGCAGTCGTTCAAGTCATGGAGATTATCAACCGTATTCCGCGGTCTCTGGCTCGCCATGAGTGTCTATTTGTAATGATTTATCTTTACTAATTGAGAAGTACCTCACTTTAGTGGCGTGTCAGGCACATGTGGAATTTCATTTCGATTGGTCCTTCAAAAGAGTTCGGATATCTGCTGGATCTGGCAAGGGAAAGTGGGTCAACTGCTTGATAGCGAGGGGCCTACGGAGTATTCCCTTGTTCTTTATCTATATAATGTCTGTATATCTACATCATGGAGAGTCCGAATCAGCCGCAAAGATTTACTCCTTCCTGCCTCATTATCTCTGAAAAGTCTTTGAAAGTCTGCATCCCACTCTGAGCTCTTGCAAAAGCCCTCAGCACATAGCTAACAGCTTTCTGAACAGGAATGGCACCGTCAATTCCCAACACCACAGGATCAGAATCGCCAGTCGATGTCCCTTATGGGCCGTACACCAGCTTCCCTTGGGAACCTCTTCCCGAGTACGGTGGAGAGAAATCTATCATGTATCGTTCGGCAGATGGAAAAACCGTCGCAGCAGCAGCAAGGGAAACAGGAACTGCAACATTGACGTATCCCTGTGATGAATTCTTCTACGTCACGGATGGATGGGTCAAACTCAACGTTCATGGTGGGGATCACTTCGTCCTGAATAAGGGTGAATTCGTGTACTTGAAGAAGGGGACGACAGTCGATTTCACGTTCGGCCCTGGTTTTACGAACGTCGCCGTTTTTATGGACAATGAACCTGTAACCCTTCTCTGAAAGAAGGGTAGTAACTTACAGTATAGCATCGAAGGCTAGCGTTCGTTTATCATTTGGAAAGTATCGACTGCGTACGCCATTACGCCAATACTTCATTTGCCCGTAGCTTTTCCGAATTCTGTTCCAAGGTTGTATCCGAATGACAAATGAGTATGTAATCTACGTAACGGTAAGACTGCCGCCCGGGGAAGTCATCGGCTCCCGGAGCACAGGGTGAGTTAGTCACCCCGCCGCCCTGAGCGGCTCATGGAGCGACTACGAGCAGCTCCCCGAGCAACCTGATCGCTCACCCCAATGCTCAGGCCGATCGGCCCATTTGATCACATTTTACCACTCCAATCTTTAAGTTGTTCCGTCGATAACCGCACTGCTTGCTGCCTAATTCTGGCGTTCCTAAGAGCAAACGCTGGATGGTACTCTCACGTCGCTATAGTAACTTAGTCTCGCCCGCTGTCGCACTCAGTTGGTCGCCTCAATTTGTCCTCGACTCATGTGGGACTTACGTTGTCTCACGCTATAGCATTCACTCTTGCTTCGTAATGCAGGCTTCGTTGCGTTGTCTATTCCTTAAAGCTTAATATGTCTGGGGCTGGCTTGATCCTAGAATACACTGCCGATATCGGGTAAATATCCTCGGGTGCCCCGAGAAGCTTTGACTGCGTCGATATGCCGTGCTACGAAAAGGTAGACATCTATCCGAGTGTCGCAAGAAGTCTGTTCACGATCTATATCGATCTTGTGACAGATCACATGTGGTGATGTTTGATGCTTGCTGCCGTAGCATCCCTCACGTATTTAGATCGTCGCTCGTTCTCTCGCACTCTCCTTGTTTCCTTCCCTATACTTAGTTGTTCCGTTGAAACACTACTACACGTTAGTTGATGTCTATCTCTTCGTAACTAAGCTATAACAAATCTTATGTACCTAGGAAAACTTACTTTAGTCGACCCACTACGGTCTTGAACGAGTTTCTAATTGGCTACATTAAAGGGTCGGAAGCTGCGTCGATTATATAGGCGGTCTTATTGCAATTGTTTGACTATATATCCAAACGTTATAGCGTTTTCTTACCTTCTGTTTATAGTGCGACGGCCGAAAGAGGTGTTGATACCTAAAATACAAATAGCCTAAGGATCCCTTTCCGTAGGGGTTTCCTTCCTACATCCAGTTAAGACAAACTTCAATTCTCCTACTTCCACTCTCTTCTGATCAAAAAGCCTCGCTCTCACTCTAGTAACCCTGAATTATCAGAAATTCTGGTAGCCAGCACCCAATCCACTGCAAAGATGCTCTTTAATTAGTTCTGAATCCCGGACCGCTATTGCAGCTGAACAATCGAGCAACCTCGGAGAAAATTACGAAGCAAGTGGCTATAGCCCGGAGAACAATCTACCCCAAGAAGAGCACAGAGTAACCAGTTTCGGTCAGTTATATCGCTGGCTTTGTGCTTCGGACATCTCTGATTGACATAATATCTCCACCGTCAGAATTTCCTAGCAAGAAGCCTGCTAGCTCCTGGGACGTTTCTCGCTCCCAGGAACGCGGCTCATGTTCCTAGACCCTTAATAATATGCTCCTGGGAGACCCGGTTACGCTCCTGGACGCTACCAACCGTATATGAACCCTTCATAGATTAGCTTAGCAGTCTAGTCCTCAAGATCATCTTGGCTGCTTATACAGCCGTCGGCAGACTACAGAGAATGCGCTTGATGTCGATGCATGGAGGCTTGTCTGCCCACATTTGATGTCGTTCGTCTGTCCAGCTCCTGCACTCGAGCAGGATGTGCCGTACCGTCTGTGGCCCGTGACTGCATTGACATTGGTCGGTATCGGCCTTGTTGATGGCGTGGATATAGGCCCGCAAGTCGATCTTGCTTGTGCGCATCTGTGTGCTTGCAGAGCTGATTGCTCTGTTTGCGCCGATCTGTGTATCGAGTATTGCTTTCCCTGGTCGCACCCCAAGTCTGAAGAGTTCTCTGCCGTGTTCGCATTTCTCCCAAGCTAGCTCCGTATTTTCCCGATAGGTACGAAGTAGACGCCTCTGCAAGCTCACTTAGGTTTTGTGGATTGCGGTCTACTGTAGCTATATAAGGGCCCCAGTAAATAATACCACAGCCTACAACAGTCTGCTATTATAGCCTAGCCTGAATTCTCCCTTGATAAGCCTAACATCTAGTTCCTATGCTGGGTCTCACGTATCAAAATCATAATACTAATCTCTCTATATTGTTGTTCTCTGTAATGCTTCGCCTGTCACTTTCATTTGAAGAATCCCTTTTCTCAAATTATCTCGCAAGTTCGTCTATCGTTTTTCGGATTAGTAGTGGATATGTGAAGGAAAAGAGATGGATTACTGGCTCTCCACAACGGGACTGCCTATTTTTTCAGGCCTGCCGGGGCTCTATTAAACCCCCAGCTTCTCAGGATCGGTCCTGAGCCTGTGTCTATCACGTCATCGGAATCTTAGGACCTGCATTTGGATTTTTCCTCCAAGTTATCTTTCGTGGGAGAATAAAGATGCTGGACTTGGGGGATTTCTTCTGGATCTCTTCAA